CCTTAGCAACGTTAAAAAAATACCTTAGCAACCTTAACAAAAATTCCTTAGCAACGTCAAAAATAATCCTAGCAACCCTAAAAAATTCCTTAGCAACATCAAAAAAATTCCTTAGCAACGTCAAAAAAATTCCTTAGCGACGTCAACAAAATTCCTTAGCAACGTCAAAAAAAATTCCTTAGCGACGTCAAAAAAAATCCTTAGCAACCTTAAAAAAATTCCTTAGCAACGTCAAAAAAATTCCTTAGCAACGTCAAAAAAATTCCTTAGCGATGTCAAAAAAAATCCTTAGCAACCTTAAAAAAATTCCTTGGCAACCTTAAAAAAATTCCTTAGCAACGTCAAAAAAATTCCTTAGCAGCTTTAAAAAATTCCTTAGCAACGTCAAAAAAAATCCTTAGCAACCTTAAAAAAATTCCGTAGCAACCTTATTATGGTTCTTATTATGGCTCTTATTATGGTTCTAATTATGGTTCTTATTATGGTTCTTATTATGGTTCTTATTATTTTTTTTTATGGTTCTTATTATGGTTCTTATTATGGTTCTTATTATGGTTCTTATTATGGTTCTTATTATGGTTCTTATTATGGTTCTTATTATGGTTCTTATTATGGTTCTTATTATGGTTCTTATTATGGTTCTTATTATGGTTCTTATTATGGTTCTTATTATGGTTTCTTATTATGGTTCTTATTATGGTTCTTATTATGGTTCTTATTATGGTTGTTATTATGGTTCTTATTCTGGTTCTTATTATGGTTCTAATTATGGTTCTTATTCTGGTTCTTATTATGCTTCTTATTATGGTTCTTATTATGGTTCTTATTCTGGTTCTTATTCTGGTTCCTATTATGGTTCTTATTCTGGTTCTTATTATGGTTCTTATTATGGTTCTTATTATGGTTCTTATTACGGTTCTTATTCTGGTTCTTATTATGGTTCTTATTCTGGTTCTTATTATGGTTCTTATTACGGTTCTTATTCTGGTTCTTATTATGGTTCTTATTATGGTTCTTATTATGGTTCTTATTATGGTTCTTATTATGGTTCTTATTATGGTTCTTATTATGGTTCTTATTATGGTTCTTATTATGGTTCTTATTCTGGTTCTTATTCTGGTTCTTATTATGGTTCTTATTCTGGTTCTTATTATGGTTCTTATTACGGTTCTTATTCTGGTTCTTATTATGGTTCTTATTCTGGCTCTTATTATGGTTCTTATTATGGTTCTTATTATGGTTCTTATTATGGTTCTTATTCTGGTTCTTATTATGGTTCTTATTATGGTTCTTATTATGGTTCTAATTATGGTTCTTATTCTGGTTCTTATTATGGTTCTTATTATGGTTCTTATTATGGTTCTTATTACGGTTCTTATTCTGGTTCTTATTATGGTTCTTATTATGGTTGTTATTATGGTTCTTATTATGGTTCTTATTATGGTTCTTATTACGGTTCTTATTCTGGTTCTTATTATGGTTCTTATTCTGGCTCTTATTATGGTTCTTATTATGGTTCTTATTATGGTTCTTATTACGGTTCTTATTCTGGTTCTTATTATGGTTCTTATTCTGGCTCTTATTATGGTTCTTATTATGGTTCTTATTATGGTTCTTATTACGGTTCTTATTCTGGTTCTTATTATGGTTCTTATTATGGTTCTTATTATGGTTCTTATTATGGTTCTTATTATGGTTCTTATTATGGTTCTTATTATGGTTCTTATTATGGTTCTTATTATGGTTCTTATTATGGTTCTTATTATGGTTCTTATTCTGGTTCTTATTATGGTTCTTATTACGGTTCTTATTCTGGTTCTTATTATGGTTCTTATTCTGGCTCTTATTATGGTTCTTATTATGGTTCTTATTATGGTTCTTATTATGGTTCTTATTATGGTTCTTATTATGGTTCTTATTATGGTTCTTATTATGGTTCTTATTATGGTTCTTATTATGGTTCTTATTATGGTTCTTATTATGGTTCTTATTATGGTTCTTATTATGGTTCTTATTACGGTTCTTATTCTGGTTCTTATTATGGTTCTTATTATGGTTCTTATTATGGTTCTTATTATGGTTCTTATTATGGTTCTAATTATGGTTCTTATTCTGGTTCTTATTATGGTTCTTATTATGGTTCTTATTATGGTTCTCATTTCGATTCACACTATGCTTCTCATTGTGAAGAAAAAATTTGCACCGCTAAAAAAATGCTTAGCGTAATTAATTCCTTAACAGCCTTAAAAATTTCCTTGGCAACCTTAAAAAAATTCCTTAGCAACGTTAAAAAAATACCTTAGCAACCTTAACAAAAATTCCTTAGCAACGTCAAAAATAATCCCTAGCAACCCTAAAAAATTCCTTAGCAACATCAAAAAAATTCCTTAGCAACGTCAAAAAAATTCCTTAGCGACGTCAACAAAATTCCTTAGCAACGTCAAAAAAATTCCTTAGCGACGTCAAAAAAAATCCTTAGCAACCTTAAAAAAATTCCTTAGCAACGTCAAAAAAATTCCTTAGCAACGTCAAAAAAATTCCTTAGCGATGTCAAAAAAAATCCTTAGCAACCTTAAAAAAATTCCTTGGCAACCTTAAAAAAATTCCTTAGCAACGTCAAAAAATTCCTTAGCAGCTTTAAAAAATTCCTTAGCAACGTCAAAAAAAATCCTTAGCAACCTTAAAAAAATTCCGTAGCAACCTTATTATGGTTCTTATTATGGCTCTTATTATGGTTCTAATTATGGTTCTTATTATGGTTCTTATTATTGTTCTTATTATGGTTCTCATTTCGATTCTCACTATGCTTCTCATTGTGACGAAAAAATTTGCACCGCTAAAAAAATGCTTAGCATAATTAATTCCTTAACAGCCTTAAAAAATTCCTTGTCAACCTTAAAAAAATTCCTTAGCAACGTTAAAAAAATACCTTAGCAACCTTAAAAAAATTCCTTAGCAACGTCAAAAATAATCCCTAGCAACCCTAAAAAATTCCTTAGCGACGTCAAAAAAAATCCTTAGCAACCTTAAAAAAATTCCTTGGCAACCTTAAAAAAATTCCTTAGCAACGTCAAAAAAAATCCTTAGCAACCTTAAAAAAATTCCGTAGCAACCTTAAAAATCCTTAGCAACCTTAAAAAAAATTCCTTGGCAGCCTTAAAAAAATTACTTAGCAACGTCAAAAAAATTCCTTTGCAGCCTTAAAAAAATTCCTTAGCAACGTCAAAAAAAATCCTTAGCAACCTTAAAAATCCTTTGCAACCTTAAAAAAAATTCCTTAGCAGCCTTAAAAAAATTCCTTAGCAACGTCAAAAAAATTCCTTAGCAACCTTAAAAATCCTTAGCAACCTTAAAAAAAATTCCTTGGCAGCCTTAAAAAAATTCCTTAGCAACGTCAAAAAAAATCCCTAGGAACCTTAAAAAAAATCCTTAGCAACCTTAAAAAATATTCCTTGGCAACCTTAAAAAAATTCCTTAGCAACGTCAAAGAAAATCTCTAGCAACCTTAAAAAAAATCCTTAGCAACGTTAAAAATATTTCTAATTTGGCTTGGATTTTGTCTTTCTTTTCGGGACATTTGGCAGCCACATTTCTGGCATTTTTTACACTGTCATATAACTTGAGCAGGTAACAAAATGTGATCGAAAGCTGGATACTGCCACATAATATGGACCATATCATAATGACGTTACCAGCGTTGTACATATTATCAGTGATGGTTTTCTTCAAGGATTCAGGACAGCTGGCTTCTGACGTAATTGTCTCATGTAAAACAGTGGAGTTTTGTGAGATAAATTAATGATGTTTGCACAGTTCCATGTGTTTAGCTGCATCAGATAAAGTACAGCTATTCCCAGGATCCAAATATGGTGCTAGATCTTGCAAATCTTTGAAGTTCTCATAGATGACAACACCTAGTGCTATATTTCCCACTCCTGTGGCCAAACCAGGGACTGTGTGCTTAATTTCATCAGGAATCTAGGACGTAAATTGTAGTAATATAGCTACAGATTTCTTTGGTTTAATTCAGTTTACCGAAGTTATTTCTAGGGAGAAGTAAATTTTAACATGTCGTAAAATAGATGGGAAAATCGTACTGTACGATTCGCACATACATACATATATTGCCTAATAGGTAGTATCTATTGTATAACTAATGAAATTATGGAACCAGAGATAATTAAATATTAAGAGGTAACATTTTTAGCCCGAACCAGGGCTTTTGTAATCGTCATGTCTGTCTGCTGTCTGTCTGTCTTTCGATAGCTCTCGAACGGGTTGACCGATTGACTTGAAACCTTTACCATATGCATATTGGACAAAGTTAGGAACCGAGTTCGAAGATGGGCGAAATCGGTCCAGTGGTTGACCGATGGGGGTTATGTGAGTGGGTGGGGTATTATGCACCAAAATTTCAAAATGGTCGTAGAAACCTGAAATTTGGCACAGAGCTAGTTAAGGGTTCGTAATGGAAGAAGATGAACTGATATCGGCCAAATTTTTATCTGGAGGGACCCTACGGGGTGACCCATACCGATTTTTCAAAGTCATCTAAACAAGCTGAAATTTGGTACGGAGGTCGCTAAGGGCTTCTAATGAAAGAATATGAAGTGAAATTGAAAAAATTTTCAAACGAAGGGACCCAACGGGTTACCCATACCGATTTTTGGAAATCATTCAATCGAGCTGAAAATTGGTACATAATTCGGTAATAGCTCAATATGGAAGAATATGTATACAAATTGGGAAAAGTTTCATCTGGAGGGTCCAGTGGGGGGACCTCTACCGATTTATAAGCGTTGATTTTTAGAATTTGCTGTCAAATATTTAAGATTAAGAATTGACGCTAAATGTATTTAATATAATACAAATTATAGTACAATGCAGTACTAATTTAATTTTATAGGAAACTATTGACAAAAGTGGGTTTACTAATCAAGCCTGGTTCGGGCTAAGCAAAGCTGTACTGATAGGTTATTAAATTATATTTCTTCACTCACAACATCCAGCGCTGCTCTAGCCGCTTCCAACACGGCTCTGCCAGTCGAAGTTGCTGGGCTGACATCGCTGTTGAGTAGCCGAGTACTTTTTGACTTTTCCATTACTAATTTTAGAAAGTTTCAAAATTAGGAGCGTTATAAGGAAAGCTTTGCGTAAAAGTGACTCTCTTCGTTGAGTTGGACAGATTTATATACGTGGAGTGGTTATCTGTCTTGATAACAAATTTGTACATATTTGATTAAGCTCAGGTACATACATACAGCGTGGAAAAAGTATTTATGAACCGTTTATTTTCACTCGACCTCATATATTCAAACTGCAGTTTTGTCGTTTAAACGTTGTCTATGATAAACTTTGAGAAAAATACACCAGCAATAAAAGGCATATGGGCACAAAAGTGAATATTCTTTGAATTTTTTTAAATTTTAAGCTCAGTAATTAGTCATCCAGGTTAGGTACATACATATGATGGCACCAGACTGACAAACATCCTGTTTACACAAGATAAGCACATTTAGTAGATATCACTTCTATCTTGACTTATTTATATCCAGTACTTCCCTTCAACGGTATAAATGATTCATTCTCATGATGTAGATGTAGGTGGGAATCGAACGCATTTCTTCAAGTGAAAGGTATCATCAGATGCAATCCCTTCAAAGCTTTGTTGTCTCGACACCGCTCCGACATACGAATATATATATGTAGCTAGATAAGCTAAGGTGTAATCGTGTAGGAAGCTTATTTTCTCAGTATGCCAGTTCGGATGGGTACATAAATACATTTTTGCCTAACCGTTGATATTTATTTTGTGGGTTGAATAAATCAATGTATTTATCTTTCAATATTTATTCCACACAATCAAAATCCAAGTTTCAGTGAATTCGCTTGAAACCCACTATGACTATATTTTCTTCACTTCCATTGTAAACTTCATCTTGTCACGAATACCAGAATATTTATGATAGTCAGCAAGCATGATGCAAAATGTACATCATAATAATGGACAAAAGGAAACAAGAAGTTATTTATAAGCAAGTTGGTTTCCTTGTCAACTCGGAGAACAACAACAGCAACGGGAGGTCCTCATCCAGGATCTTCTGTCCATCCGATCACCAGGAAGAGAAGATCACATTAGTTAAGATAGGTTAATAATTTGTAGGTTAAGTAGGTTAGGAAACATCAGGTTAGGATTTAGTAGAATAAGTAAGTAACTTGTATGAATGGAGTATAAATGAGAATAAAGTTAAGTAGATCAAATAACAATAGTCCGGTGGGGTCTATATTGGTCAAGTGGCCCCTCTTTGGGAAATATCACAACCAAAGTAAACAAACAAACGAAAGTGCGGAGGCAGCCAAACCCAGCCGTGACAATCTATTTGCTATAGATAATGAATTAAGGCGTCCTGTTTACATTAGATAAGATAAACTATTTGCCTGCCGTATTGTACGTTCACCGGCCGGACATAGCTGCTCTGAATTACTACAAGCTACCACAGCTACCATCGTGTCTAGTTTATTTTATTTAATGAGTTGAATAAATTTGAGAAACCAATGTATTTATTCTGCTAGTATTCCATACAACAAAAAAATCCCAGCGTCACGGAAATATGTAGCTTAACAAAACCCACGACTGAATATTCTTCACTTCCATGTAAGCGTTAACCAATCCGGCAGCCTAAGATAATGTATCAGTACAACTGTTTTCGATAAAATAAACTAATTTTCTACAGTAATTTTCCCCTCTGCATGAAAAAGTGCTTCAGAAACACTCTGCTTGACGAAAAGTAGCAAAATACTTATTATTAAGCTGTAGGTTAATAGGGTATCATATTTATCATAATACTTCGTCTGTGTAGCGAGATTGGCATTAGAGGTGAGCTGGATATCCATTTTTTTGGATTATCCATGGCCCGATCCAATCCAACTGGATTTGGATGGATTGGATCCAAATTTTTTTAGGCCAAATGGATTTGGATGGATTGGATCTGAATTTTTTTTGGGCCGGATTTGGATGGATCGGATCTGGGTGGGTTGGATAAAATTTCGTCACTACGCCACATCATGGATTCTTGAAAAATATATCCCGAATATATTTATCAAGAATCCGATGCCACTGATAACACTAAATGGGTCATTCTTTTATTAGCATGACACACACAAATAAATTGTGACCCCCAATCACATTTATCCCTACCCTATGGTTTGATTTTTTTAAATGAGAGGCTTGCCTGCCATAAGCTTTGTATGTATAAAAGCTCGTTTTAAAATTTAAAGTTTGAATTTCAAACCATGTATGCGAACTGGATATCCATTTTTTGGATTATCCATGGCCCGATCCAATCCAACTGGATTTGGATGGATTGGATCTCAAAAGTTTTGGGCCAAATGGATTTGGATGGATTGGATCCAAAATTTTTTGGGCCAAATGGATTTGGATGGATTGGATCCAAAATTTTTTGGCCAAATGGATTTGGATGGATTGGATCCAAAATTTTTTGGGCCAATCGGATTTGGATGGATTGGATCTCAAAAAAAGTCGATCCAGCTCACCTCTAATTGGCATCATAACTGGGTAACTGATCATGTAAATTTTGAAACATGTTGAGTAATGAATATTAGTTAAGAGAGCGCAGAGGAGGAGAGGAGCCAATTCTTGATGAAGTTTCAAAATAATTTTTTTCCAGTAACTGCCCTGGTCTCTCCCATACCCCCCAGTACAGAATATTATGGGTGTGACCTTTTCCTCGCCTAGCATCCAGGTCATATAGTCAAAAACCTCCAGTGCAGCATTTAGCCCGAGTCAGGTTCGTTTTAAACTGGGTCCCAAAACTCGAAAAATTTCCTATTTGAATTTCATTTTCCAAGTATATTACTTTATTGGTACAATCATTCCGAATTTCAACCTTCGAGGACAATATTTGTAAACAAGTGAAGGTCACCCAACAGGGTCCCCCCACTAGAAAATTTTTCAAATTTAACTTCATTTCTCGAGTTCATACCTCCATTGGTGCTAGCATGCCCAAGTTCAGCCTTCTACGACTAGTTCGAATATTTTGTACTAAATCCTCAATCCGCTCCCTCTAATATGACCCCCACTGGTCCAAATATTTTTTGATCGCACCCATTTTGGAACTCGGTCGTTGCATTGCCCAGATACATGTTTCTGGAAAATTTCATTCAAATCGGTCAAAGCGTTCTTGAGTTATCGTCAGACAGACGGACAGACATGATGATTACATAAGCCCTGACTCGGGCTAAACACGTGCAAAATAATTTTGACACTAAAATGCAATTTTGTCGCAAGAGAAATCTTAGATTTTTAAATAGGTATCACGGATATTTGAATAAAATTATCTTAATGAAACTGGTATTTGTGACGAAAACGCACCAGGGGCCACGTCTCCACGCTTTGGAAAGTTACGGATAGGGCGGAAAGGTCCAGTTTGAAAGCTGTCTCAAATACGATTCAATATACCCCAAGCCACCCAATTTAATGGCGGAACCATTTCACATATGGTTACCTTTACTTTTTGTGTGGACCCTCTCGAGGGTGAGACCTTAAGAGCCAATCTTCCATCTTGTCCTGAGATGGGACCCAAGGAACTTATGTTTCAAGTCTCAAGGCCCAGCTTTTCGAAACGTATGGACAGGCAGACAAAGAAGACTCTCTGATAAAGGGGATTCACCCCTTAATAAATACACATATTTGATTTTGATTTAATTTAATTTTGAAAATTTTGTTTTAACAATTGTGGTTTGTAAGATTTGGCACAACCATATTTCACGTTGACGTATATAACATACTAAATTTACTTCATATATATACATTTACATATTGTTTCATCTCGCCTTGTGACCATTAAGAGTTTAACCAATTAACCATTGTTTTCACTGGATGCTAATGTCAGCACAATTCCGGAACACTTGGGCTGGGTTGGGATTAACGGCACACTCATGCCAACCTGTTAATGCACAAATAATATTTAGTACTTTTAATTCGGCTCGAACATGGTATTTTTTCATTGACGACAGGGTTTTCCCAAAAGTGTCCGTAAGTGTCCGATGGGGTAATATGAATTGTATCGGTTTACCCCACTTTTCACTTTTGGACACTTCAGGATTGGTGTCCAAAACCACTTTTGGACAGTGTCCTGTCCAGGGTGGTTTTGTCCCTGATTGACCATACCTCCCCATCCCGGGTAAGCAGTTCGATACGTCCATCTTAACGTGCATCGGTTACATCGCACCCCAGCTGGAAGTTGAAGTCTGGCGGTGAGTATTCTAGTTTCGCTGTTTGGGTATGGGACGCACATTCTTTCTTCAGGAATGATGTCTTCACTTCCTCCAACAATTGCAAGTTTCTGGAAACAACCTGGCGACTCGATGCTCGTTTGGCACAAGTGAAACTCCATGTATCCGTAGTGAGCAGCGCCGAATTCGGTTCGAACATCGATAATCTATCACAGAAAAAAATATGAATTTTTCTTAATCATTCCATCACAGTAGGTCACTCTTACAGAGCCAGCGGTATAGTTCTTGCCTACGGTTGCTTTCCCATAATAGCCTCCATTCTCATTCTCTCTGGGGGCAGGATCGCTAGGAACGTCGCCACACATGCCTAAGCAATAAGGAGTTTGTTCAGCTACGTGTTTAGGATTTCCGTGACGCTCCTTATATCTTGAGAGTGTCAAAATTTCAGGAACAAATTTGTAAATTGTGGGGGGCTTAGTCTTCAAATATTCCATATACACTATGAAAATTTTGACCAGTCTCAAGTGACACGGAGCGTGACGGAAATCCTAAAAACGTATTTACACAAACTGCCTAATATTTAAATTAGGGAGTGCTAGCCGGGTACAAGTGTCAAGCAAAAGCTTAAGCTACACCCAAATTTAAGATGTTCACATATTTAAATACCACAAGTAGATTCCGGGACGTCGATTGCTTGAGGAACGTCGTTACACCAGACAGCCTGCCAATTCCAGTTTGGTGGGGTTCCTTCGAAGCCTGCGTGGTACATGTAGTTCCTCCCCGGCGGGTCGATCATTCCACCGTGAGGAACTACCACCCCGACGGCGAAGGCTAGAATAAAGGATAAAATTTGGTACATTGTGTTCAAGTCGCAGAAACCAAGTAATTTTTGCACGGTTTGAGTGGTGACTTTTATACCGAGTTCTTTATTCATGTCCACAATACGTGATACTGATTGCGCAAACAGTTTACGTGACTTGGTTCGTGGTCAATCAATGTCAATGTCAATGCTGGTTAAGAATAGAAAGATGTGCACCGTGGTTAAAGTGAACGTGTGCAAAGCCCATCAGTCAAGTTTGTCAACAATTGATAAGAGGAGATCAATGCTACAGTAAGTAAAATACAAATATCGACAATGATATAGATTCTGCATTCCAACCATGAGATTAAAATCCTACTCGTGATATTAAAATATAAGAAATACAAAAATCATTTTGTATCAAATCACCAGCTCCAAGGGTGGGTGGTCCAGTTTTAAGTTTAAAATTTGCCACATAAAGATAATGTGTTACTCATCTGTTACATAAAAAGAACTGAGCTAAGGCTAATTGGGGCCGTGTGGAATGATTTCAAATTCCTGGATGGTAAAAGTTTTGGAGGCTATGCAGGATCACACAACAACACTTTTACTCACATTTTAACATGTATAGCGGAGTAGGTGTGGAGGTGGCTTCCTCATGAACCAATTCCAACGCCCACATCGTGTTAGCCACGAAAAGTAGGATAGATGCATTACATAGAAATGAAGAATTTCACTGTGAACAATAAATATGTAGCTTTACTAATACGAGGGGAGATTGATAAGTACCTAGAATCATATCTTTAAAGATAAGATAGAGCTTTGAAATTTTACCCGTTTAGACGTTGTCCATCCTACATCTTGTGTATCAAAAATCATGCGGATCGGTCGACTTTTTTTTTAATCGTAGAATTTATAGTGATTTTATTGGTTTTCGACCTTTGAGAGGGTTGTGGCGGGCGCAAATGGGGTCATGGAATCAAACTACTTTGAGGTTATAGTACACTCGTGTAATACTATATCATACTCAAAGGATATCGAAACCTGTGACCTGTAGGGTCTGATTCTCTCATCCTCATTTAATTCAGGTCGTGCAAGGCGTGTTAAAATCATTTAAGAAATAAAAATTCGTGATGAAAGGAAACAGCTTAGGCATTGAATTAAATAGTGTATTGAACTAGATAGAGATTACGTTGAAAAATCACAGATTGACTAGCACTAGACTTTAAAATCCGTTTTAATAAAAAACAATTCCAATGACTCATCAGTCTCCCCTCGTATGTTATTGCAATGGAGATAATTTGAATAAACTTAAAGGGCGAGTTTATGCGAATGGGTGAGATAACCAAGAGGGGCCATGTCACCGAATTAGTTAATTTTTCTATCATGAACTGTGCGAGCTTGGAAGAACAATTTGTATATTTCACTTTTTAAATTAGTCAAACCCCATCTCCAATAATCATGAATATGTGATTATTTTGCATAATTATCATGGCCCATAACTAGTCACTCAAAAGGATTACGATGACAACTTTAACTTATGAACGACAGCAATATTTTTGAAGAAATTTTTGAAACAAATTTGAAGTCAAAATTCGAAACTTTTGGGGCGTAACCTAGTTAACTTTGATCACCATTTTTTCATGGGCACCAGTTTTTGTTGACAGATTCAGAAGCATCTATAAAAATCAAATCAGATAAGAGTTTCTCCCAACGGGGCCGGCGACAGGAACCATGAGATATTCACGGTCAAAGTGGAGGAGACGGGCGGGAGAGGCGGAGAGAGAGCACATTCTCCGGCTCTCAGAATATTAATATTACAAAAACATGACTAAGAATCGAAATTTATCGAATCTTATTAAAATAAGACTCCAAAGCTAATCCCCCCTTTAACTATATCAAACACCGATCACCACACCCACTCCCAAACTCTGGAAAAGGTCACAGAAACTCCTCTTCCCAAGAGCCGACTTCCTCCCCTCCTTTCCTTAAGTGGACTCACCCTTACTACCATAACTTTAAGGAATCAACGGGACAACAAACTGCCACGGGTGTGGTCCTGCGCTAGCAAGGTTAATGAGGAGGTTGATCCCGCTGACCTTCTAGCTGCCACACCCGACCGGCACGTGGCCGGGCAAGTTTATTAATATTAATATTACTTCAAATCCGAACCCATACTATTCTTAAGAATAAGTCATCCTCACTAATTTTGTATTATTTTGATGGACACCGGAGACCACCCAACCGACTAACTACTATGAATTGTGGATCCTGCAACTCTATTATCGCCGTTCGCCAGCAGTGTCTCCAATGTCTCCAGTTTCATCATAGGATCTGCCTGCCAACTGTTTCAAACCACGAATGGCCGACAATTAAGAATGGAATTTGGTATTGTACCTTGTTTCAAACAGGAGATAACAATAATATTAATATTTCTATTGACCAGAAAACCACTAACTCAAATTTATTCGAGGTACTTCCGTTACACCACTTCCAAGACATCACAACTCAAGATTTCCCTCATGAACAATCATCAGCCCTACCTCCCCCACCCCACGACTCATCCATCGTCCACGACTTATACAATCGATTCAAAACATCGAAAGGTTTGAAAATCTGCGACCAAAATATTAATAGTATTCGTAGTAAGTTTGACGATGTATTAAGCCTCATTTGCAACCAAAATATTAATATTGATCTTATATCCTTCATCGAGTCAAAGCTTGATCCAGACCGTGATAAAGATTGTATGTATGTAGTTGAAGGTTACAATTTTATAAGGTCAGATCGTAGCTACAATCAGGGCGGAGGTATTACCACTTATGTGAAAAGTGAAATTAACTTTGAACACGTCCTATGTTTAGTTCCTATTTATAATAACTCAGAGATTCAAATAATTAAGTTAATGTTAACGAATTTTAAACCTGTGCTTGTAGCTATACTCTACACTCACCCTGCCACTCCTAAAGCCAAATTAGTAGATTTCTCCCGCGAACTCAACACTTATTTAATATCATTCGATGCCGAATATTATATTTTAGGGGATTTCAATTTAGATCTTTTAAAGCGAGATGCAGACTCGTACTCAATATTTAATGCAGGGAAAGAATTTCGTTTGTGGCAACACATGGTAGGTCCAACTTATAAGGACTATCACTATTAGATCATGTTTATTCCAGTAACAAATTAAATGTAAAGCTGGCTGGCCACTTTTCTTTTACCAGCTCGGATCACGATTTGACTTTTCTAGTCCGAAAGTCTGCAAGAGTAAAGTTTCAACCAAAATTTATAAATTATCATTGTTATAAGAATTGTGACTTTTCATTACTAGAAAGTCAACTCTCGTCCTTCCATTTCGATACAAATATTAATATTAGTCCACAATTTGAGCTCGAGAGGTATAATTATTTTTTATCACTACTTGACGAACATGCCCCTGTGAAGAGACGTCAAGTCAAGCCGAAGCTAAACCCGTTGTATCTTCCAATTTAGCTGTTCAGCGTAAACATTGGGATACATTGCGTATTGTCGCAGACCGAACTAGATTACCTTTTGATATAAAAAAATATATCCGAGCGCGCAACTGTTACAATACCAGCTTAAGTAATGCTAAAGAGTACTTTTTGAAAAAAGGGTTCACAGATTCAATTAGTAATACCAAAAATCTGTGGAACAATGTAAATCTACTAACGGGTTACCGAAAACCTGCTAATATTAATATTTATAAGCTAGTCGACCCTAATAGCAACGAGGTATATGATTCCCCTCCTAAAGTCAGTGATGCCCTGGCATCTCATTTTATAGTTACTAGCGAGAAGTTAATCCCGGACCCCATACTCTCAACAGAATTATAAAATTATGAGGTTAACAGTTAACCTCATAATTTTATAATTCTGTTGAGAGTATAGTTAACCGTTAACTATTCAATTAACGAATCTAACGAAACATTCGAATTTGTCACCCCGGAGGAGGTTACTTGCGCTATAATTGCAACAAAGAAGGATAGTAAATCTATATTTTATGTTCCGCTATCTGTATTAAAACGTTTCTCAAATATTGTTGCGTTTCAGTTGGCAATTCTATTTAACTTAATATTCATAAACTGTAATATCCCACAAGCGTTTAAGGCCACCAGGCTTGTGCCACTATATAAGGGCAAGGGAGACGCGTTTGAGACTCTGAGCAGAGCAGACTGGTCCTCTGTTCGCTCTCGTTTACGCTTCTCGTATTTCATCTGTGCAACAGTCAATCGAGTTGAAAGTAATAACGTATCATCATGTCACCCGCAAATAAGATTGGTGTATTTGATAATTTACTAAGTGAATTAAAGTTACTGATTGCCAGTGAAATTGACAGTTTGTTCAACAAATTGTGCCAAATTGCCATCAAAAACTCTGCCAAAGTGAAAGAACCAGTCATTCACCATGTGCAACGATACACATTTAGTTGTGCAATTAAATACGGAGTACAGCCCCGTAAAATTGGCTGTTCACAACCTGCATCTACGTCGCTACGATGGGGAACTGGCCGGGCCGGGGGACGCCCTTCCAGCCACTCCCCCACCCTGGGCCTAGGAGGACGCTCCAAAAGCTCCAACTCGATGGCTGACTGGGGACGCATGGGAGGTCATCATGGTCACTACTTCGCCGATCAGGTCGCGATCAGCGCATCGCCACACCGTCCAGTTGCACCCCTCGGCTTTCTCCCCTCTTGCATCCAGTTTGATGGAGGAGGATAATTCCCACGAATCTCCACACAGAGAGTAATGCATTCCTGCCGTCCTTCCTCATTCTCTCATCTCGACACCATCTTCTCAATATCACTACGGATGTGACGTCACGCAGCTTAACCTTTCTTCCCCTTCCTGTATGCTGTGCTGCTGTACATGTTCGCTCGACCATTTAACGACCCAACTGCCCCAAATTCCATTCACAGGATGTCAACAGTGTTTAGTCCTGTCTCAATCTTCAGCTCAGCTAAATATTTTAAACACCAAATTTTTATGTTCTGACTCGGTTGTTTTATTTATGACTTTTTATCTCCAATGTCATTTGTACAGAAAATATGTACTGACTCGTTGTTTTTATATACGGTTTGTAATAATGTAACAACTTTTCAATCTCAAGTTTACGAAACTGACCACGTAGTGTATATTATGCGTCTCATGCTACACATTTATATATTTGTATATGCCTGTACCTTCATGGGCCCGTAAGCGGCCTCAAAAGGATCGAAATAAATACTCATACTCATACT